TATCCGCTATCCACTAAATTTTAACCGCTGTACCAAACAGGCCCTAAATATAAGTGTGACACCCAAAATGAACTTAAGGTGGTAAATAAAATGATTACTTAATGCTAACCATCAAAGTAGTCTAATGATAATTTTTTTAATTGTCGCAGTAAAAGGTGTTGAGTTTGAATTGTAAGTATATGAATGGGATGAGTAAAGCATATGTTTTAGGAAAATTATTAGTACACCCTCTGGTTCGATACATTATTTAACATTTATCCAATTTATTCATTAAAATATAATACAAATATAACCAGTTTAATCAGTTCTTACATAATGTATGGATAATTGCATCTTTAAATTTATTTACTTTTAATTTTAGATAAAAAAATAATAATTTTTTAATGATAATGTTATGCAATATGTTGAATTAAAAGATATACTTATCAATCTCCAATACTTTAAATAGCATATAAATGGCAATCCAATACATAGTTCAGTTTTTTTATTTTTTTAACAACAAAAAAAAGGTATTATTTAGCGAGTACAAGGGCTACTCCAACCTTCACACATAGCTCAATTCTTGTTAAGTAGCTCCATTAGATAGAAAAAAAAATCTTACTTGTATTGATCCACTTTGCATCTATGTTATAATCTTAAATAAAAAAAAGTGTTGCGCAGTTTAAATTGGATTATTTAAACCATTGGATGGAACCAATCTCTTGTTATTGGAGACTATATCCTCCCTATATGATAGTTTCTATTTAGCATTCAATACAATCCAAACTAGAGAACAGTACACTCAATCTTAAAAGAGTTTAGAATGTACAGTTTCACAATATACTTTCTTTCTTTCCCAAAACTATATTCTCTTTTCCAAAAGAAACCTGTGTCTAGACATAAGCGGATAAAAATCTACTGATTAACTGCACAGAAAAATGTTGGCAAATAAGAAACTACCCAAGAACATACCTACAGATTGGGATTTCAGCCCACAACATTTAAACTGGCTTAATCTCACTTTGTCCGGTTGAGCCCATCTTAAAGCTTATTAGGCCATCTGAAGTTTCATAACCCCAAGGCCCAAAGCACGAATGGCGAACTTCAAGGCATATGACACCTTAAAAAAAATAGATAAATAAACAAGAAGCATATATAGAGAACAGGAGAGACACAAATCACTTGTTAATTCGATACCCACGTCCCGGCATAGTGGCTGAAACCTTGATCAAGTAGGGATTACTTAACGGTGGGTCGTGTGTTTAAACTTTATAGATGATATTTTTTTTCTCAAATTACCCTTTTCAAAACAAAAAAAATCATGTTAATCTAAATAAAAGAAGATCAATTTTTTAAAAAATAAAATAAAACCTCTAGTTTAAAGCTTATTAATAAAGAAATAAATATTGATAGAGTTTTTTCTATTATGACATCTAATACAACTATACTCTAAATCAATTAGAATTTAATATAACTTTTAGATAAAAAGTTTTTCATAAAATTTTTTTCTAAATTATACCTTAAGAGATGCCATTATTATATGCTTTTCACATTAATTAATATTGAAAAATATAAAAGTTATAATTAATTTCATTGCTAATAACACGTGAATCATTTTAATTAGACAATTATTTAAACAATGGTCAAATTTTTTATTTTCAATACTAAGTAATATAAAAAATATATAATAATTATATCCATAAGGCATAAATTAAAAAAACTCATTCATAAAATATCCTTAAATTCTGTTTTTGGTAAAAATTAAAAAGAAAAATAGTGCATCAACATGTTCCAAGAAGGCCAAACAAAAAACATGTTTCGGTCTAATGTCATACAATTTATAATACAAAATGCTTGCACAAGAGAAAAATTCATTTATCTTTTAACCAGAATAAAAATGTAAAAGATAAATTAAAACATCACACATTATCTTAAAGGTAATCATAATAATCCCCCTTTAAAAGAATTCTATAACTTGAAACCCTATCAACTTTAACTCAAAAGTTATTCACTCTCATTTTCGGGAGCACGTGGGAAATCATCATCATAAACAAAAAACACCATCAATACCCAATGGGTTTTTTTATTTTTAAAAGTAAACCAAAAACTAAATAATGGTTTACAAATAACAAATTATTCATTAAGAATGCATGTTAGTAGTGATGCAAGCAGGCAGAAATAAAGAAAAACAGACTTTATTTTTTGAGTGCAAGTAGTAATGCTCGATAATTAGAAGAAGAAAAAAAAAACTAACAAACAAACTCAAAACAGACATTTTGCTTAA